CTCACAGCTGTGCAGGTTTCTGGATGGTCTCATCTTCCATATCAGCACCGGGTTTCTTGGCACGTTTGAAGAAACCACACCACCACATGAGAATGGCGATAAAGATGAGAAGAAGCAAGCCTAACACCACGCCGATAATCACAGGTATTAGGGGGAAGGGTTGTGTAATGAGACGTTTGATGCCTTCAAACACAAGGTTCTGAGAGATGGAGAGTGGTGCGATGGAGAAATTGCCGGACACAGGCAACCCAAAGGCTTGTGAGGGCAGTACTGGTGTGGCTGTGGTCACAACCGCCACATCGGAGAATTTGTGCCGGAAAAGAGTGTCCGCCCACACCCAACCGCGCATAACGATTCGCACGGCGTCGCCCCTACCGAGTTTGTCGATGCGGCAGGGTATCTAAAAAACATTAATTTGCAATATTAGATTCAAGCAAGATTGCGTTATTCATGTAGGCACGTGGAGAGAGAGACGGATCAACGGCCGACTACCAAACAATCCACAGTTCCCCAGAGACGAATTCGTGAATTTGATCAGACTCCGTCGAACGAAGCCAAGCCATCATTGGGGCAATATAGATGTATTTAAGCATACTGCTTATGTCCTGATTGCACTAAGAATATAAACCGCAGTTTCGTCCACAATTATTTGTTACAGCAACGCGCCTTAAACAGTTTTGAAAAAATCAAGCCCGTCCACGACACCAGACCTCTAGACTGGAAACTCCTGTGACGCTATTAGGGTCGGTCAGTCCATAGGATAAGTCCGAGCATACTGGCCTTAAGTTGAAATGATTCAGCAGCTTTATTTTCCCCACAGATGTACATTGTTGATCGTAATAGTATATAACTGAAACCCTTTTAGCTTTTGCTTATTCCTGTTTCAAAAGACTGTTCCAGGGAAGCTTTAGGCTGCATTGGATGCGCTAAAAGGACTGTAATATCAAATCAATATGTTATACTTTTTGAGAAAAAAAGTCGTTTTTAGGACGCCGGCACGAGTTATCACACAAGAAAAAAGTCAGTCCTGTTAACAAGCCACCCCTGCACACCGACCATCCCCTTCCCCGCCCCCGCCCCCCTCAACAGTAACTACAATGCCAAGCTAAGTGTTTGAACCACCCTGACAGTTGCCGAGCCACTTCAAAACACCTACTCCAAAGCTGACCCGGCGCTTCCATCTCGGAGACCAACACTGTTTTAGTCCCCTCGCGTCTCTGTAACGCCCTAGCGGTCACTCACTGTGCTTACAAAAACTCCCAAGGCAATCCTGCAGGTGCTGCTGCTGCCTTTCTGGTCGTGGTCACAAAGACGGGCGTCAGTTGCTTTTTGGCATAGACGCATTCAGAGCCCAGCCCTGTCATGGGGTCGAGTGCGAAAAAAAGAACCAAACAGCAATCTGGGGGAAGCGGAGCCTCCGAGAGCGGATAGAACGAAGGCCTGCGCTCGCTCTCGGCTATCCGCTAGAGCAACATGTCGGAAGGAAAAGGGGGCGGGGAGGGAGGGTGGTGTGTCGCTCTGTACAGTCAAAGAAAAAAACAAGTAAGCCGTGATGCACACGTAGAGATAAGCAATGGCGTTTCGGCCACCTGTAGCAACTCGCAGATGTGCATTGCCCAGGTCCCTGTGGGGTAATTCAAACACGGAGGTTCGAAGCAATTTTTAGCGCAGACTAGGAGGCAGGGATCGAGTATCTAAGTGCACTTTGAAAACAGAGTACAGGGAATATTGGAAAACGGGAAGGGTGAGAAGATTGCTTTCATCGGTATGATGGATGTCCGAGGCAATTAACGGAGTTTGTTGTAGACGTTGAGGATACTTGATTTTATAAAAAAAACTTATTTCGTTGCTCCAAGTACCGGAAGGGAAGCGCAATATGAATTATGCAAATGAGGTGGCCTGTAAACGGGCGGAAAACATGAAATACGGGATTTCGGGTTAAAAAAAGCAGGATTGGGTAACGCGATCTGTGGTAGACAAAATTAACCTCAACTCAACTCCTAATTATTTGCGTTACCTTAATCTTTGACTCAAAATTAATTATTGTCCATATTCTGTAAATATTCCCATGGTTACTTTGAAAAGTCAGTTTATTAGGCAAACATGTTTTCGGCAGTTCTTCGTCAGGCCATTAACTTTGCAAAACAATGAAAGTTTGAACGTGCAGAAAAATAAATAATTGTCTGAAGTGGGCGCCGATTGGTCACTGCGGGCTATGTCAGTCTGCGCAAGTAGGCGAGATCGAAATGTTGGGTGAGCGACTGCCACTAGTGGGTAGGGTCGATTTGCTATCGTCACCTGGCGTCGGCGTCGGCCAAAGAAAGGACAAGGCTTGTGTTAGAGTTTTCTGACAGCACAGCACTAGATTCATTAAGCGTATAACCACTGCTTCCGCTGTTGCCAGCAACCGTTGGCGTAGGCCTTTGGAGAATTTGGTTGGTGTCCGGTAGAAAACCTGAAAGGCTTCACTAGTATCGACTCAGTGATTCGTACCGACAAGGTGTGCGAGAATACAGATAGAGATCGATTTAGTTTCAACTTTACTTAACCGGGCCGGTACGTGTTCACATACTCACTTTTCCTGGCGCCTCGTTGTTCGGCTGATGTATCCTGCTCCACAGGAGCAAGT